TTTTTAATATTTATTTTTTAGTTCTCGGCTGACACAACATCTTTGTTGGTATGTGGTGCTGAGGATCGAACCCGGGCCGCATGCATGCCAGGCGAGCGCGCTACCGCTTGAGCCACATCCCCAGCCCAAGAAGGTAAGATATTTTTAACATACAATTTTATTTCCAACTGACATATAGTGATTGTACTGAGTGTGATGTTTCAATACATGTATACAATGTACAATGATCAGATCAGGATAATTAGCATATCTATCACCTCACATCTTTATCATTCTTTTTGTGTGTGTGTGTTGGGAACATTCAAAACCTTTTATGAAAGGCATTTTGAAATATTCAACTGATTTTTCTCAACCATGTCCACCCCACTGTGCTATATAGACCATTAGAAGTGATTCCTCGCACCCAGGTACACCCCCCTACCCCTTAACTCTCCTATCTCCAGCCCCTTACCCCACCCTTCCTAGGCTCTGGTAGCTACTATTCTATTCTCTGCTTCTGAGACCAACTTTTTATCTTTCACATGTTAGTGAGGACACAAATTTTCCTTTTTGCTGGGGCTCATTGCTGTCCCATCTAGGTTACCACAGCAACCCCCCTTGTGGTCTCCTATGTCTGGTCCCACATGCTTCCAATCTCTTCTCCATTTTTCAGCAAGAGTCCTCTTTTTGTGGAAAGCAAAAAAGCTGCAATGTTCCCCTCCCTTCTGCACCCCAAGTCTTTCAATAGCTCTTCCTCACTGTTAAATAATGGCTTATAAATGTCCCTTAGCATTTGGCTTCTCTCTACTTCGGTAGCCGGAACTCTCAGTTTTTCTTTTGTGTTTTATTCACCGCCATTCTGAACTTACCACACTGCGGGGTCCAGAACTTCCCCCACCCTGCCCTCCTCTGGCCTTTCCATACACTATTCCTCTTTAGACAACTCTTAGTCCTCCTCCTCTGTCCTACTCAAACTTTTTGCTTGGCCAATTTCTGTCATTTGCCCCAGGTCCTATCTTGTGAGTCACATATTCCAAGAAGACGTCTCTGACTTCCATCTGCATCAGGTGACCTTCCTGGGGGATTCTGTGTTTCCATCGTCAAGCACTTTAAACACTGCATTGTGATTGCTTCTTTACTTGGCTGCTCTGGGGTTACTGACAGAAAGTGGGGGCTTAATAAATCATTAGTGGATGAATTAATATACAGGTCTGGAGAGGCTGTAGTTCACCCAGAGACGAATAACTAGGTCACTGCAGGGCCAATGGTAGAACCAGTGCTAGACTGAAACACCAAAACTCCCTGTCCAGTGCTGCCCAAGGCTGGAGATATGAAATTCACCACCCCCACCTGGGTTGGAACTGACACAGAATGACTCAGCCACACTAGGCCACCGAGAAGTCGAGATAGGCCAAAATTCTAGGTTTGGCACTGTCCCTGTCTTCCCAGTATACCTTTCTTTGGGTCTCAATTGGCTAAGAATCCTCTTACAGAAGAAAAACAGAACTGGCCAGCTCTGATAATATCCAAGTTGCATTTGATGGACACAGAATAAGCCAACTTTGCCAGTATTAAAAAGCTTAATTTCATAGTCTGAATTCAGATTTGGCATTGATAATGTTACTCCATGAGGTGCTTCTCTGTTGACTACACACTAGAAAATGAAATTCTGCTTACTGCATTAAAGCTTGGCCTTGAAGAAATCCAGTATGGGCTGGAAAAAATATTTTATACAATATACACAGACATACATACAGATGCAAGTGTATATATTTAGAATATAAGTCACTTAAAATAGTCAAAGCTGTCATCATTTATAAGAATAGTGATGCAGAAGGGGAAAAATAAAATCACATCTTTTATTAAACAAAATACTCCAAATATACATAAATTAAAACTGTAATTTCATCTTCAGTGCTTGGGATGTAATTAATCTCTCATATTTTACAGATTTATGTCAACATAGCTTGTCACTGAAATGAAAATTGTATTATGTATATAGTAGGAGCATATTATTTTTCATGGCACTACTAGACTCCAGCTGAAACTTGAAATTACCTTATGGATGTCATTCTGAATGTGAATTTCTCAAAACAGTGTTTTCAGGATCACAAACAATGCACACATTCTACATCACTCCAAATTCAAGACAAATAAAGGCCTTAGAACTTAATTTAGGAATGAATTGCTTAAAAATTAGGATTATAATTAAATCATAGAGTTTATTACATCCCTTATAAAGCAATCTTTAGTTTAACTCATTGGTAGTTAATGAGTTTTGCCCTTAGGGAATAAGTGCAGTGTTATTCTCGAATGGTTGAATGGTTATATAAAAGCAGGTACTCTAGTGTTTGTTAGTACTAATMAAATTTCTGAATATAAGAGGAAAAAAATGTATGATTAGTTTGTTGAAAACAAGACATACCATCATAAGCTGCTTTAGTAATTGCTTTGGCTGCATTCTTCTGAATATCAGGAATTGTGGAGTTTTCTGCAAATGCTAGAAGTTTTTTAAGACCCCCTGTTTGCTGAATTAGCGTCATAATTTCCATATCTTCGAGGCAATTGGCTATCACTGCAAGTGCTTCTATGTGAAGATCATTCAATTCCTAAAAATAAAAGCAAACACAACTTTAGAAAGTTGTATTAAGAGAAATTTACTCTTCCCAAATTTTACTACAAGAGGAGCTGAGATCACTTTGAACATAATGTGAGAAATTTTGTTGTGACAAAGGCCTGAGGAAATGGCAATTGTTTTTACCAAAATAACAACCCTCTCCCAACCATTTGCCCCATTTTTTTCATTTCCAACTGACATATTCCAAATGTCTTATGAATTAAAAATAAGGCTAGAGAGGAAACTACCATTAATGTAGCCAAGTGAAGTTGCTCATTTAATCTTTCACCAAAATTAATTTTAAAATCTAGAGGGAAAAAAATGGTTTCTCCAGAACTGAGGATTAAACTCAGGACCTCACACATGCCAAGAAATAACTTTTGAAACAGCAGACAGACTGCAGGAAGAAAAGTTCCTTAAAATCTGCAACTGTTAGAAGGAAATGATTGTGAATTTTGTGGCTTGCTTTCCAGGTTATTGGAATCTCCCCAAGCAGTGGAAAACTGCAGCCTTACTGCAGCTAGAAATTTCAGGAAGAAATCCTAAAAGGGAGAGGCGCAGGAAGGATGAGCCACTGTGGTGATGTTCCACTCAGCATTGCTTCTGACCAAGAACTCACTTCACCGCACAGTGATGGGCCCACACTCATGGAGTTCACTATTCTTACCATGTCCCCAACATCCCAAAGCAGTGGCTTGATAGAATGCTGGAATGTTCTTTTAAAGACTCAAGTTACAACACTAGCCAGGTGTTAGTACCTTGCAGGGCTCCGTCTACCAGGCTTCACAGGATGTGAATCAGTGTCTGACATACAGTGCTAATTCTCCCATAGATGGCCCAGGAACCAAGGAGTGGAAATGGGAGTGGCGCCACCATTATTACCCCTAATGACTCACTAGCAAAATTTCTGCTTCCTGTCCCTGCAACCTGTATGCTCCGCTGATCTGAAGATCTTAATGCTAAGGGGAGCAATATTTTCACCAGGGCAAACAATGATGATTCTATTGAATTGGAAGGTAAGACTGTGGCCCCTCCCACTTTGGGTTCCTCTTGTCCCTGAGTCAATAAGCAAAACAACAGAGTTACTGTGCAGGGGAAATTGGACTGCTGCTGCACAGTGGAAGTAAGGGAGAATTTGTCTGAAAAATAAGATTCTCATATGGTGTCTCTTGTGCCCTGTGATTAAAGTTGATGGAACTCCACAAGAACCCAGTACATGCAGGATACTGATGTCTCAGGATGAAGGATTGTGTAGTCCCAAAGTACAAAACTATGATCAGTTGAGGTACTTGCTGAAGGCAAAGGGAATAGGGAATAGACAGCAGAAGAAGGCAGTTGTGAATATCAACTATGGTCATGAGACCAGTAATAGAAGTGAAGACTTTCTCATGAGTATTCCTTACTTTACTACAGAGGTGCTTGTGTGTACACATGTGTATATGTATGTTCATGTGTGTTTATGTATGTTCATGTATACATATGTATTAATATATACCTTTGTTTTTTCCCTCTTATCCCATTATGTTACATGAGATGTATTAACTTTATACGATAGTATTTAATTTTTGTTAACTTTAAATTGTAGCATTTAAGTTACCAAATGTTAAGGAGAAAAGTAAACATTACCCAAGGATTTCGGGAAAGGGTTAATGGCTTTTTGGTTGGGCACAGGATAGCTGAATCATGTTAGGTCAATATATGACCTTGGCCTTGTCTTTATTTGAAGATTATGATTTAAGGACATACATGGAGAGAGAGAAATGGCAAACTGAACAAACTTATAATGGTTAATTTTTTATGTACTAACTTGGTTAGTCCATGGTACCCATATGTTTGTCTAAACATCATTCTAGATGTTTGTATAAGGACATTTTTTTTTAGGTGCAATATTTAAATTAGTAGATTTTGGGTAAAGCAGATTACTTTCCATAATGTGGGTGGGCCTCATCCAATCAGTCAAAGACTTTAGTAGAAAAACACTGACCTCCTTGGAAATAGAGGAAATTCTGCCAATTGGCTGCCTTTGGATTCATTGTAATGCTTCCTTGGGTCGCCAGTCTGCTGCCTTACCCTGCTGACTTTGGACTTGCCAAACTTCCACAATTGAGTGAGCCAATTTCTTAATTATCTGTTTTATTCTGTGTCTCTGGAGAACTTTAGCATAGGATGTCATCCAAATTCTGAGTATAAACAATGCCCAGGCCTTTGGATGACCACTAAGTTATATGTGCATGGAGGAGGTGCCAAGAATCCCAGTGAATATAAACAGGCAGGGACTAGAAAGCAATATATCTTATCCTTAAAAGAGGGAACCATGCTGGTGAAATTTGTAAATTTACTGCTTTTCAAATATAGTGATTTCTTAATCTACATGCAACACAGCAGGTAGAAAGATGAAGCCTCACTGGCTTAGGATATCAGAGGTCAGAGCCTGGGGCTCATGGAGGAGCTACAGACTTAAAGGAGGGAATGCCCAGAAGCAAGGGAGCCACAGAGAAACGATGAACACCCCCGACCAAACTAAGTTAAGATCCTTCCCACATTTATAGCTGAACTCCAAACCACTGAAGCATGGGGGGAGATCTCCAGGGGTCAGGCTAAAAACAGCAGCACTGAGAAACTGTAAGAACTGAGAAGAGATACCAGCTGTTGGACACCACAGAGGGACAGAGTCTGTAGCTACCTGTCTACTAGAACAAAGTACCAGCAATCCTCAGGAAAACACAACAGAATCTGGAAACACTGGGAGGGATTTTCTACAATGTTCATTTTGAACCAAAAATTACTAGACATGAAAGAAACAGGAGAATGTGAAACACAGAAAAGAAAAGAAAAGAAAAGAAAAGAAAAAGGTGGTCAATTACATCCCACTCTAAATAGGGCCAGATGTTCGATTAAGCAGTCAAAGACTTTAAAGGAGCTGTTATAAATATGCACAAAGAGGAAAGCTGAACAGAGACATGCAACTTGTTAATGAAAATTTCAGTTTGAAAAGCATAAAGTTAAAAAGAAGAATTCATCAGACTGAAGATTGAAGATGGCAAAAGAGAACTTGAATACAAATCAATGAAATTATTTAATCCAAAAAGTATAAAGAAAGGAAGAATGAAAGAAAGAAATGAAGGACAGAGTCTTCTAAAGCAATATCAAGTCTTCTAAAGCAATATCAATATAAAGTCTTATAAAGCAATATCAAGAAGGACAACAAAGTTGTTAATTGAGTCCTAGAGAGGAGAAAAGTAACAGAAAAAATTTTTGAGGGTTGGGGTTGTGGCTCAGTGGTAGCATATATGAGACACTGGGTTTGATTCTCAGCTTTGCATATAAATAAAAAACAAAATAAAGGGTTCATTAACATCTAAAAAATATTTTTAAAATTTTTTTGAATAAATAATGACTGCAATTCCCATATGTGTGAAAAACATTAATTTACAGATCTAAGGATTTATATATCCCAAGCAGGATACACAAATTGTATATAACTTCTATGCAGAGGAGAAATGCAGGAAGCCAAAGATAAAGGGATAATCTCAAAAGCAGCCAAAGAAGGCAAATAATACTCAGGAAAATATCATAATTAGTGGCCAAATTCATATCATAAATAGTGACTTTCAGAAGAAATAGCAGAGGGCTAAACAGAAAAATAAATGTACAAATCAGGAGTTTTTCATTAAGCAAAAACAGCTTCTCAAAACTGAAGGCAAAAGAAAGACACTTTCAAATATATTTTTAAAAAGCTAATTTATGCCAGCTTATCTGCACTATAAGAAATGCTAAATGAAGTTCCTCTGTCTGAGGGGAAATGACCTAGTTGGAAACTAAATCTATAGGAAAGAATAAACAATACCCAAAATGGTAAATATGTGGGTAGATAATATAAGAACTAAATATTAAAGAGTAGACAAGACCACAAATGTGGATATGTGATTTTTCCTTATTTCTTTAAAACTCATATGATACAGGACTGTTCAAAACAAAAATTTTATGTTGTATCATTGGGTTTCTAATGAACATAGATGTAAAATATTTAACAATAATATTTAGAATGGGAAAACCAGACATATATTGCTATAAGTTTCCAATATTTTATTTGAAGTAGTTCCATATCAATTCTAAGTAGAATATGATCATTTTAAGTTGTCTATTGTCATCACCAGAGCAATTACCAAGTGCAAAGAGATATAGCTTGAAAGCCAATAGAGAAATTAAAATGCAACATTAAAAGTTAAATTAACATGATAGAAGGCAGAAGAGTGAAATGAGCCAACAGATCAGACAAAGAAAAAACAATAAATGGTACACCTAAATACAACCAAATCAATAGTTATATAAAAATTGATTGAAATTTTAATTTCAAAAGCAATCTGGTAGAAAATCACATTAATTTCAAGTGTTCCAATCCACAGGCATGTTATAACTCTTCATTTATTTAAGCCTTCTTTAAAACTGTTTTGTATTGTTTCGGTGAATAAATTTTGCCCAAATTTTGTTAAATTTAACTCCTTGTAGTTCATGCATTAGTAATGCACTGTAAATGGAATTGTATTAATTTTTCTTTTCAGTTGTTAATTTGTAGTATGTAGAAACTCCATTAATTAGTATGTACTGAGCTTTTATCCCTTGACTTTGATAGATCTACTTATTAATTCTATTAGGCTCTTGTAGTCTCTCTGGATTTTCTCCATACAGTCACGTAATCTGTGAATAAATACAGTTTTATTCTTCCTTCCTAGTCTGTCAGTCTTTTATACCTATCTTTCTCTTGGCCTTGTCACCGTGGTAAGAATGATGGTGAACAAAAGCAATGAGAGGAAACATCTGGGGCCCGTACTGCATCATATGTGGGGGGGGGGCTTCCATTTATTACTTTAGATATTTTGATATCATGTGAATTTTTCCAACTAAAATACATGCATTAATTCTGAAAACATATCCTTCTTGCAAATGTCCTAGCTCTGTGATTGTGGGCAAGTTATTTATCAGTCAGTTTCATTCTTCTTACCTGTAAAATGGGGTTAATGATTCAATAATTACATGTGACATGTATAATGATACAATTATTATCATTTATTCTTATCTTATAGAAAAATATTATCACATTCTCAAAAGAATTATAAAATTAATAAAATTGCATGTAAAACATCTAAACAATGCCCACCACATAGTAGATGTTTCTATCCCATTTTTTATTTAAAAGACAACAGGTAAAATATCAAACAGGTGAAAATACCATGATATATCAGACAAGTCTAGGTTCATCCCTGCAGTTAATCTCTTCCTACTTATGCAACATAGGGCAAATAAAATACCCACTCTGATTTTCAGTTTCCATTTTTAAATTGGTAAAAAAATACTGAATTTATCATGCATTCAAATTCACAAATTCAAAATGTTTAGCCCAGAAACTGGTAAATAGGGGATCAACAAACCAAAGATGGCTAGATTTACACAGCTGAGAAACACACGTGTTCGAGTATTGCCCTTCTGTATTTTACCAGTTTGGTATAATTAAGCTCTGATATTTATTTATTTTTAATGCTTAGATAAAGTGAAATTTAATATTAAGTTATTATTCAGGAAACCTTTACTCTGTCCCTAGTGCCCAAATTTCTAAGAGGTACTAAGAATAGATTTTGTCATTAGAATTCATTAAATTTATTCACGTAATAACCTATGAAAGTGGATCTGAAATCTACATATTACCATTTCACTCTGAAGTTTAGACAGTGGACCCTTACTTCACTTTAAGACAAGTAAAGAATTCGATAAATTGTTAGATTGGTTTCTGTAACTGGGAAATTATAAGGAAGACCTACAGAGTCTGAAAGTGTACAATTCATTCCTAAGGAGCTTAGTGGGAACTACAGAAATTCAGCTCCAATATTTCTCAAAATGTGTTTAGAAGATAAATTACTCTTCTTCTCTTATTCCAGAGGAAATCATGGCAGATAAAGGTTAAAAGACTAATTCTAGGTGTTTTAGGGAATTAAAAGGAAGATAATAGAATAAGAGTTTACAAATTTTAAATCTTCTATACCAATAGATTTTTTTTAAATTAGCTTCAAATGGCCTCAATAATTGGTCTGAAGCCAGGCATGATGGTGCACACCCCTGTAATCCCAACTACTTGGGAAGCTGAGACAGGAAGATCACAAGTTCAAGGCCAGCCTCAGCAATTTAGTGAGGCCGTAAGCAACTTAGTAAGACCCTGTCTCAAAATCTAAAAAAGTCTGATTTAATCAGGTTAATAACCTTTATGTAGCAATTAATTAATTATTCCACTATACTTTGTACCATGCTTCAATATAATAAAATTTAATTTAAATATTATACAATTAATATTTTATAAAACATTTAGAAAAGATATTCTTTGAAAATACCTTAGTATCTATGATCTTAATAAGTTGGTCCAATCCTTGATTTTCTCTTAGCATTGTACGGGATTCCTTATCATTTGTAATGATATTTAAGGTTTTGAGAGCCAACAACTGAATAATTGGATACTCTGACTTCAAGAGCTCCAACATAGGAGGGATTGCATTTAGTTCTTGAAGTGTAGTTCGACACTGAAAATCCTGCCATGAAATACAAATGATCACATCAGTAACTTCTGAAGCAAAATAAAGTCCCAAGAATGGAGAAATTCTATTTTCTAGCAAAGAACATTGTGAATTACAACTTCTCCATCTTTTATTCCAGATTACTTCCAAAATAATTCACAAAAATAATAAAACTCTCAGTGGACAACACCAAAATATCCATTGGTATATGCAGACATTGTCAACAACCAGAAATAAACATGACCAATGACTTTTATAGTATCCAGTATTTCTTTATGAAGCAGCAAATTCCTACTATCATAAATAGCATTACAGTAAAACCTATGCATGATAAAATTCTTTTCATACTCTGATATAATGTTCAAATAGTATTTGATAAGATGAAATGATGGCACCCATTCCTTATTATCTTCAAATGGATTGTTATGAATACCTATGTGCATGCAGGCTATTGACAGGCTGTCTGCATGCAAATTTACACAGGTTCAGAGCAGATGCATGACCATTCCTTAAGACATTTATGATATCAAGAGATCACTATATTTTAGACAAATTGTTCTGCAAGTGTATCAATAATTCTGTGTGAGTGGGAGCAGGGAGTAGGGGACTGGTGGTGGTGAACAGAAGAAAAAGCATAGTAAGAAGCCACTAAAAGCCCCCAAACTCTGATCGTTAAATGATATTTTCACCCAAAACGTGACAAGTAGAGAATAGCATTAAAGGTGGAAAAGCCTCCACTTAACAACTAAGCCTCCTCCTCCTGGACATCCTTCAACTGACCTCTAATATTCAGCTTTCTTTAGACATAGAAAGTATAGGTTGCTCTTTATTATGGGTTAAATTGTGTCCCCACAGTCCCTCAGAATGTGACCTTATTTGGAAACAGTCATTGCAAGGGTAATTAGGTAAGATAAGGTCATCCTGGAGGAGGCTGGGTGCTTAAGAGTGTCCTTATAAGATGGATGTCCTTATGGGAAAGATGACAAAGGGAGAGACCAGAGTGACACAGATGCAAGCCAAGGAACGCCATCACTAGCTGTCCCCATCAGAAGCCAGGAAGAAGCGAGGAAGGAGTCCACCCAGCCTCCGGTGCAGCCAGGCATGGTGATACAGGCCTGTAATCTTAAAGGCTGGGAAGGCTGAGGCAGGAGGATTGTGAGTTCAAAGCCAGCCTCAGCAAAAGCGAGGCACTAAACAGCTCAGTGAGACCCTGTCTCTAAATAAAATACAAAATAGGGCTGGGGATGTGGCTCAGTGACCAAGTGCCCCTGAGTTGAAACCCGATACCCACCTCCCTGCCAAAAAATTGTGGAGGCAATGCTTTTCATTCCTGCTTGATTAAAAAAAAAAAAAAAAAAAAAAAAGGGAAATACAGGTAAAAGGAGTCTGGAGATTAAAAACACAAGTACATGTACAGGAATACTTAGGCCTGTTGGGTGAGGGAAAGCCTAAGTAACCAGAGAAGGCAAAAAGGAGCTGAGCTTTCTCTATAGGCCCTCTCTTAGGAGTGGGCGCCTGATCAAGTTGTGCAGACACACTAAGGCCAGAAGATTTTGAATCCATTCCTCTCTCTTTGCCCAGATACATTGCTTTGCTATGAATCCTCTCCCTCACTCTTGTTTCAAAATCTTTCTTTCACGCTCTATTGATAGCCATTTAAAATGGGGCTTTTGTAGTTTTGCCTCATCTCAATCTTATCAAATGTGTGTGTTGATTATTAAGGAAATGAGCAGAAAAAGCAGCAGAGAAGGCTGTTAAACTTCTGGGAAACTGACCTGCTACGGGTGTGAGGGTGTGGGTGTTGAGAGGGGGTTGGGGTTGGGGGACAGGATGGCAGGGAGGGGAAGGTGGCAGCGTATTCACACCAGGGTCTGGCCTGCTCTGTAGTCTGGTGAGTGGCTGTAATCCACTGTGTTCAAATATTTGCACTCTACCCATATAATCTACAGACATGTTTGCTAGACAAATGTCGACTCAGAAACTCAGATAAATACTTCTGTGTATCAAAAATAAATAAGACATTAGAGAGGAAAACAGCCAATGAGGTTGCCTCTTGCTATTGTGAACAATGAATGCAGATCATACTCAAATCACTAGCTCTTTTTTTTTTCCTTGATAAATAAATCTAATCCAAAGTCTTGGTACACTGAACAGGGGAGAGATTATATTCAGTGTGCTTAAATTGCCAGGGTTAGATCAATAGGTCACTTCCTTGGTTCAATAGGAATCTTAGATTTCCTGTTTTAGAAGAAGCACATTTTATCTAGATTAATCCCACCCTAATCTGCATGCCATGCTATTATTTTAACACAGAAATATATTTCTAAAATATGCTTTCACGGGAGGCAATTACTTATAAAATGTGAAAATATATCTACACTAAATTTCTGTTATTTTTTTAAATGATAAATACTAAATGTATCCAGAAGAACTAATAATGCAAACCTGGTGAGTTTTTTTATATAAAAAAAAACTTTTTAAAATTGGAAAATAAATCCTGTAATAGTTTTTGTCAAAATGTTTTTTTCTTTTTTCAGTGCTGGGACGCAAACCCAGAGCCTTATGCATGGTAGGAAATCTCTCCATCACAGGACTAGAACCCTAACAAACAAAACACTTTTAACACTTTTTAGAAGTTAATCTTACCTGAACTAAATTGTAAATGCATTCAATAGAATTCTTCTTCACATCAGGGTCTGGGCTGCTCAATAGTCTGATGAGTGGCTCCAACCCACCATGTTCAAATATTTGTACTTTACCTGTATACTCGACAGACATGTTTGCCAGACAAAGACTAGCAAACTCATGGATAACTACTTCTTCTGTATATCAAAATAAATAAGAAAAGTATGTTAAATGCTTATTCAACCCATATTTTAACATATGCTTTGAAAACAAGAGCTCCACAAATCTTACTTAGAGCCCACCTTTTCCATAAAACTCAAAATTAAGCTGTGATTTTCAAGATTTTAATGACAACTCATAAGCGATTGTTCAATGTGAACTATTTTCAATAGGCAGTTTCATAAAATTTAAAAAGAAACCAGTTCCATTTTTGAAGTAGATGCAGAATGCAAAGTTACCTTCTGGTGAGAGCTGGGCAATAACAGAACTCATGACATCTAACTCCCTTAATAATTTTTTAACATCACCTACAAAGAAGAAACAGAACATCCATATTTATTAAAATAATCATGGCAATGTCTATTGAATAGTCCCTTAAGAGATATATTATCTAATTTCACAGACAAGGGAATTGAAGTCCAAAAGTTACACAAGTAAGTGACAGGGCTAGGTTGCAAGTCCAGGTTGGGCTGACCTACAGGGATTCTCACCTATATCCCTTGACCACTGGGCTACTTACCTTCCAAACACCACAAGTGATAACTGTAAAAGTGCCAAAGGTGCCTAGAGAACATATCAGTAGAGTTGGGTTATTGTGCCCTACACTTTTATTATACAATAGTAATTCTTTTTTCTTTTGCTGAAAAGGTATTTTAAATTTTTGATTTTAATAAAACTTACATAGAATGCAAAAGAAGAATTATCCTAACCTATTTCAGTTAATATGTCTTGATTGCTTACATTCCATTTAATGAAAATGCAAAAAACGCTTAAAGATAAGTATATTGGCTGTTTTAAAGTTCACTTTTCTGAGGAATAAGGTATCTCTGATCCTTTAGTTTTACAATTGTTCTTCTTTCTCAGTTATCTTTATCTGTAAGCCAAAATCAGCATCATGAGAATTTTGGGAAAGTTCACTTTGCAGCAGCCAAAGTAGATGGTGTCTGCATGAATTCTTTCTTATTACCTGCTGAATACACTTGGCTTTTACTGGACATCATTTCCTGAGGAATTCAGGACTATGACTTTTATTCAAAACTTCTGCTTTCTCTGTTTCTGTTGGAAGTGGTTAAAGGAGGTCAGGCAAAATCACAGCTAGACATATGGAGGTGAATAGACTTGAACTACCAAAGAATAATTGCTCTTCTAGGAAGTGTGCTGTCCCAAGATGGAGGACCTCATTGTGCCTTGGCATAATACTCAGACCCTCAGGTACACTGAATGGAGCAAACCCCGTCACCCAAGGTGAGGGTTGTTATACAATAGGTGTATACAATAGGTGTATAACAAATACCTTGTTCCTCAAATTCTGAGGTGTGTAAAGACCTTGTTTGGCAAACCAAGGTGTGTGTCACCTGATGCTGCAAGAGAGATGCAGCAATGCCCCTCTCCCTTTTCTGGTCATATGTTCTCTCCGTTTTCAGTTATACATTCAACATGGCACTGTGCACAATTATGACACAGCTCATCTGTGAGATCCATTTATGAAGGCTCCACACAAATGATTACTCTGTTATTAATTTCTCATCACCTCAGTTACTCATGTAATTGGCATAAGAGTCATACCTACCTTGCAGAGCGGCTCCTTAGGAATAAATGACTCGATGTCCAAATAGCACTTAGAACAGTTCCTGGCACATCGCCAGTGCCAAGTAAGAGTTAACTAGTGTTATTCTCATCATCTAGTTGGTAGGGCGTCCATCCCCCACAAACCTCTCCATCCTGCTGCCATCTGTGGAAATGCTCTCAGAGCCCCTGCCTTACAGCATTACAGCTCCTGATGGTGCTGCCTACCCTGGGGACCTCAGCAGAATTCTGCCTGTTTCCAGCATGGCAGGAGCTCTCCAGGCAGTCTCTGTACCTGAGGTTGTAACGACACACAGAACACCCCCTTCCTCTCCTCTATCCATCCCTCACTCATAACTGTCTCTGGGAACACTGATGCCACAGCCCCTGCTGGGCACACAGGACCCAGGAGACCCCCCAACCCCCATTCATTGCACAGCATCCAGAGAAAATGCAAGATGGGAATACAGGAAGGAGGGGAAGGAATCTGTGCCCCAGTTCTGCTGAGACCATGGTGAGACTGGGAAACTATTGTGACTTGAACTACATACCATTGTCAGAGTTTATTCCCAGCAGCCTGAACTTCATGGCTGAATTCAGTCTCTATTAAGGGTGTCCTTTAAGTTTTTTTGTCAGTTACAAAGTTTTTGTGGGCTGGCTCAAAAACTACCCTGATAACATAGGAAAATGACTTGTACTGTTCATAAGTTAACCATGACTTCCTTTATTGGCTTGGTTTTGACCCAAATCAATATTCTAATAGACATAACAGCATATTTTAACTAATGCTATTATACCACACTATCAAATACATAAAAATATTTCAAGCAAGTACTAGATTTGACTGAAGAATAAATGTCCACATCTGAATTTTGGGCAACAATATGATACAGAATTGTGATACAGCCAATCCCTGAGATAATAGTTTGCAGTTTCAAAAATCAATTCATCAAAACTCTATACTCTAGGCTTTATCTACCATGAAATATAGATGAAGTATAACTTACATGTAGGCAGCAAATGACATTACACTAACTTAAGAAAAATCCATTTTTGTTTTAAGAGGTAATGATTACTCCTCCTACTTATAAGACTGGGATACACTGTATCATCAGTTTTCAGAGGAGCTTTAGTATGTGTATATCTGCAACTATTTTTATATTTTAAAAATATCCCTTAAAATATGAATCATCCATTTGTTGCATTGTACTGATGTAGCTATTTTGTTAACACTGAAGTCAGCTTAAACACAAGCAAAGCAAATCTCTTAAATTTAAAAGAAGAACAATACACTACATGAGATTGTTTATTTTTTAAAAGTCGATATTCACTGTTGTTTTTTAAAAGTTGGTACTTACTGTTAGAAGCCAGGATTCCAAATATCATAGTAGCATTTCTTCTTACAATTTTGTCTTCATGAGTGAGAAGCTTGGTTAAAGGTTCCACAGCTCCAAGTTCAAGGAGGGTTGCTTTATTTTCCTCTCCTGACATCACAGGTAAAATGAAATCACACATTGAGATCATCATTGCAATTTCTTTTTTGCCATGTTGCTTTTCTCATACCTTTTTGCTTCTGCTCATATTTCTCTCAGAATAAACTCATAGCTCAGTTACCTTGGATGTTGCTACTTTCTACTCTCCCTGATGTTTACAGAGCTGTCTTCATCTCCTCTTGAGTTCAGAGGCTACACTGCAGCAACACAGAGAGACCTCATCTATCTAATGTCACCATGCCCAAGTCTTTCTTATGTTTCTTTATCCTGTTTTATTTTCATCAAACCACTTAACAACCTCCATGTTTTGCTTGCCCACTCCACTATAACTTAAATTTCTAGGACAAGCACCCTTGCTATATCCTTGGTGTGCAGCACAGTGTTGGTCACACAATAGTATTCCATAAACACATGAATAGTTTATTATAAAGCAGTTCATTAGTATAGATAGTCCCTACTTAAAGTATGTGTGATGATCAGAGGGAACTAATGCATCACTAAATGGAAGCATAGCTCCTTTTATATCATGAAAGATGAGCCTGCAGCCAACATGCATGTAGAGATGAGCCACCAGGTCCACTGGGACTCTAGCTCAGCCCAGGATCTAGCTGTGGAATCTAGCTGTGGCAAGAAGCCCCCAAAGCAGAAGTCCAGTAAAGCCAGAGTCTAGCCTAACTTCAGAAGTAGTTTATCCATACATCTGTAAGTGGGATATCATGCCGCAAAGTTTGGAATAATGTTTAGGTCTTGATTAATTTCAGCTTTTCAATTTCACTGAACTTTGAAAATATATCTTTCATTTCCAATATGAACTTCAGAGTGTAATAGTCACTTTAACTTACAGTGAATTTGCTGTATCAGATGGAAAGATTGTTTGCTTCTCTTAAGACTGCCAAATTGTCTTCCAAAATGGCCATATCATTTTGCATTTTCACCAACTATAAATGAGAGTTTCCTTTGCTCCACATCTTTGACAGCATTTGATGGTGTCGTTGTTAAGAATTTTAGCCATCAAATAGATATGTAGTTATTATGTTCAGATATGAAGTATCTTGCAAAAGTTCATGTGTGAAATGATGCAAGAATGTACAGAGGTGAAAAAATTAGGAGAGTTGAAACGAAATGGTTGGCTTAATCCACTGAAATGGATTAGCCAGGTGGTAACTGTAGGCATTTAGGATGTGGCTGGGGGAGTTAAAGTCACTGGGGGAATGCCTTTGGTTTATATATTTTGTCCCTGGAAAGTAGAACTCTCTCTGCTTCCTTATTGCCATGTTTTTGAAGTTCTTTCCTCCACCACACTTTTCCATCATAATGTTCTGCTTCATTCTGGGTCCACAGCTATGGACTCAGTCATTTATGGACTGAGCCTTCTGAAACTGGGAGCCCCCCCCAAAACTTTTACTCCTCTACATTGTTCTTGTCAGGTCTTTTGGTCACAGTGACAAAAAAAAAGGCTAAAACAGTGGTCGTATTTCATTTGTTTTAATTTAATATTCCCTAATGTTTGTGATGTGGAAATTGTTCTATGCTTATTTGCCATATCTCACTTTTGGTCAAGTGTGTGTTCAGAATAAATTTAATGGAGTATGATTTATCAATTATTCTTAAAGATCATGTTTTAGACTAGAAGTTTTCATTGTTTCACAACCACTTATGGAAAAGACTGTCTTCACTGAATTGTCTTTGCATCTTTGTTGGCAAATTTGTCCATATATACATGCAAGTCTATTTCTGTACCTTCTATTATGTTCCATTGATCTGTTTATCTTTATGATGATAACACTGTCTTAATCACTGGAGCTTTACAATAGTCTTAAATCAGATAGTGCGAGAGTTCTCCAACTTTGTTCTTAAAGTTGTTTTGACTTTTTAGGTCCTTTTCATGTACATATGAATTTTAGAAATCCAAAATTCTGTTTCTGTTAAGAAATAAAGACTGGTGAGATTTTGGTAAAATTGCATGGATCTATAGATCAATGACCAACTTGTAGAAAAACAACATCTTAACAATTGAGATCTTTCACTCCATGAACCCAGGACATCTTTTTAATTCATTTGAATCTTCTTTAATTTCTTCCAGCAATATTTCATAGCAGTATTTCATACAGGGCTTTCCTATCTTTTGGTCAATGTATTCCTAGGTATTTTATAATTTTTGGTGCTGTGGTAAACAGCATTTTGTAACACTGATTTCTGATTGTTTATTTCTTGTTTGTAGAAGTGCAATTGAGTATATTAATTTTGCCTACTACAACCTTGCTCACTTACAAATTCTTACAGCTTTCCACAGATTCAATAGAAAGCACTACATATGTAGTAATTTTATGTGTCAGCTTGACTAGGCTAAAGGATGCTCAGAAAAGTGATGAAACATTATTTCTGGGTATGTCTGTGAAGACGCTTCTGGAAGAGACAGCATTTGAATTAGTAGACTGAATAAGAAAGATCTAAATAAGAAAGACCCTCACCAATGTGGTCAGGCAACATCCAAATTATTGAAGATCCAAACAGAACAGAAAAGTGGAGGAAGGCAAAATTCTCTCCCTCTTCTTGAGTTGGAACATCCATCTGTTCCTACCCTTGGAGATCAGAGCTCCCAGTTCTTGGGCCTTCAGGCTCCAGGACCTTATTCTAGCCGGCTTGGTTCTCAGGCCTTTGATTTCCACTGACTGGCAGCAATGGCTCTTTTGGTTCTCCAGCTTACATATGGCCGCAGGACCTGGACTTTGGCTTCCATAATCACACAAACCCATTCCCATTAATCTATCCTCTAACTGTATGTTCTACTTAACAGTTTAGAATTTTTCAGTCTTTTGATTAACTAACTATCATTATAAAAAGACTTACCGATCGCTGCCTCTTTTCTCTGTTTTCCTGATGTTAACATACCCACTCTAGGTTTGTTTTGGCTAGTACTTGCATGTGATATCTTTCCTCATCCTTTTATTTGTGTCTTTATATTCTAGGTACATTTTTTTTTTGGAAGGCAGCATGTAGTTTGGTCTTTTTTATCCAATACAACAATATCTCCATGTGAATTGGAAAGCAGAGACCATTTACATTTTATCTGATTATCAGTTCAGCCTACCATCTTGTTATTTATTTTTCAAATGCCCCATTAGTCCTTATTTTCTTTTTCTTCATTTCTGCCTTCTTTTTATACAAATTTGAGTGTTATTTATTCTTTTATTTTACTTCTTTGTTGACTTATTTGATATATATATATATATAATATATATTATTATATATATATTTTGTTGTTGTTGTTGTAATTTCATTGGCAGGGTGCAGTATATTGACATCCAGTCTCAAGTTGGATCGCACTTCACATGCAGTACTAGAACTCTGTCTGAGTGTACTTCCATTGTTTTTCCTTTTTACCTGAGTGCTGCTGTTGCCACGTTATTTTACTTCCATATATGTTCCGGACTACACAATGTACGATTATTATTTTTATTTAAAGTAAAAATTTGCATTTAAAGGGATAAAAATGATCAGAAACAGTATTTGGTTGTCACCACTTCTGGTGCTCTGTGTTCTTTTGGGTGGATCCATATTTCCATCTACTGTCACCTCCCTCTGTCAAAGGTCCTCTTTTACATAATTAGTAGTGTGGGTCTGCTGGTAATCAATTATTTCAGATTTTGTATGTTTTAGGAGAAAAGATTTTATTTCACCTTTGTTTGTAAGGAATATTTTTGTGAGTATAAAATTCTAGGTGGAAAGTTTTTATTTTTCTTTCAGTACTTTGTCAGTCCACTGACTTCTTGCTTGTGTTGCTGCTGATAATAAATCATTCTTACTGATTATTTGTTAAATGTTGTCATCTTTGTCTTTGTCCTTCTGAATATAGCACACCCCTATATTCCCACTGGCTGCTTTTAAGAATTTTGTCTTCATCCTGTTTTTTTGTTCTTATTTTCATTTGTTCTTTTGAGTTATACATGACAGTAGACTCTATATGAGCACAAAATATATCTTATTCTAATTAGGATCTCGATCTCCTGGATGTACATGATATTTTTAAGTGATTAGTTTTGTGATGAACCTTGGTTTGGTTTATTTCATATTCTTTGTACTTGTGGTTTGATGAGCATCTTCAATCTTTAGACCTCGAGTTTTCATCATATTTGGGGACATGTTGGCTATTTTTTTTAATTATTCTTTCTGTCCTCATCTCTCTTTTTCTCACACTCCAGTTAGACACATATTGGGCTCCTGAATTTTTCTCATAGCTCTATGGATCTCTGTTTATCTTCTAAAAATATCTTTTCTCATTGTGCCTTATTTTGCATAGGTTCTCTGTCTTTAGATTAAAAAAAATTTCTTCTGCGATGTCTAATCTGCAGTTAATCTAAGCCATGTATTTTTATCTTGGACACAGAAGTTTTCATCTCTTCAAGTTATATTTGGATCTGTTTTATATGTTCCATGTTTCTACTTACTCTCAACATATGGAATAGGAATGTAATTAATCTTTTAATGTTTTCTCTGCTAATTCTAATATGAGTCAGTTTTTATTTACTGCTTGATTTATATCCTTATTATAAATTTTTTCTGCTTCTTTTCATGCCTGGTGTTTTTTTTTTTTTTAATTAGGGAATTGAATTCTACTTTGTTAAGCAATGGATATTTCTGTGTTCTTGAAATTTGGGAGCACAATTATGTTACTCATAAGCAGTTTAATCCTTTCAGGTCTTGCTTTTAAGATTTGTTAGGTGGTTAACAGAACAGTTCTCAATGTAGGACTAGTTGTTTCACCTACTAAGGTGTGACTCTGTATATTCTACATAATGCTCCATGAATCTTGAGGTTTTTCAGTCTGGCTAATGGAAATAGGTATTCTAGCCTGGCCCCTGTTGCTCCCATCATTTTGGGTGTCTCTAAGTAAGTAGTTCCCTCACAAGCACACACATTGCTCAGTCAGTACTCCATGAGTACTTGAATAGTAGATAACAGGCCTTCTGTGTTCTCTCTCCGTGCAACTCACTTCTCTGCTACTTGGTTCAGAAAATTCTGGGTGCCTTTGTCTCCCTGGACTCTTAGGTGACTTCTCAACTCTGTCCACCAGGTTTACCCTTTTCTGTTCTGTGGCCAGGAAACTCTCTGAAGTCAACAAGTTGGGGCAATCACAGGACGTATTTCCTGTGTTTCCCCATCCCTCAGTGGTTACTGCCCTTGTCTGAAGGTCAATGTCTTGCCAACTGACATTTCATACATTTTGTCTGTTTTCTTGGTTGCTCTACATGCAGTAGGATAGATAAATCTGGTCCTTTACTCCATCTTGGCCAGAAGGAAAAGTCCCATCACTTTTCTTAATTTTTTTTTTCAGAAAATACTGCCAGAATTAAGTACCAGACAAAATATTTTTGTATTGATTTTACATGAAATACATACTTATTTTTTTTAACCACATATGGCACAAAAGGTGATATAATTAGGTACATGTGACCTAATTAGCCAGATGACCTAAGATGACTCTAAGGCTGAGTGGGATGCACACTGCCACACTGCCGTAGACACACAGTCCAATAACTCCTTGAAGTTTGAACTCAATTCTATACAACCTACTCACAAACCATACCTTCCACAACCACCCTGGGTTTTGTCTTGATTCCCCGTCATCACAAAGCAAGGTGAGTACTATGCAACTTGCTAATTGAGGAATTTGTTGTTCTTTTATCCAGGTCCCCAGTGTTTAAAGCATCATTTCTTTAAAATCAAATTGTTCCCATCTTGATTTGAAATGTTTTGTTAAAAATACCGAGCTATGCTAAACTCTTCAAATAGTCTCAATTGAAATGTCATATAATTTAATAAAAGTCCGATTTTTATCACCATTTGGAATTAACTAAAATGTAACTATTTTGTATATTTGTAAATCTTCTATGAATAGACCCTTTGATAGAATCTGATTTGTGATCTTTACAATTTTAAAATGAACTTAATTTTTYTACAATAATTTAGCTTTACAGAAAAATTGCAAAGATGGTACAGAGAGCTTCCACATATCATGGACCCAACTTCCTCTATTATTAACGTTTGACATTAGTATCATGGTATGCTTCTTACAATTAATGAACCAATATTTCTACACTATTACTAATATCCTCATAGGCTTTGGGGGTTTCCTTTGTGTTTTATTTTTTATTTATTTATTTTTTTTGGTGGTGGTGTTTTTTTGTTTTGTTTTGTTTTTTAAAACTACTGGTGATTGAACCCTGGACCTCACACATGCTAGACAAGTGCTCTACCATTGAGTTACATCCCCAACCCCTTCTAACTTAAAAAAATATATATTATTATTTTGCAGCACTGGGGCTTAAACCCATGAATACTCTAACACTGAATTATATCCCCAGCCCTTTATATTTTTTGAGACAGGGTGTCACCAAATGTCTCAGATTGGCCTCAAATTTGCAATCCATCAGCCTCAGCCTCCCGAATTGCTGGGATTGCAGGAGTGTGCCACCATGCCTGACTTTGGTTTCCTTGGTTTTAACCTAATATCTTTCTTCTGTTTCAGAATTCTATTGAATTTCTGCATGACAGTTAGTGACCAGGTCTCCTTGGCTCCTCTTGGCTGTGAGAGGTTCTCAGACTTTCCTGTTTTCAATGGCCATGACCATTTTGAGAAGTACTGGTTAGTATTTTGTAGAATATCCCTGAATTGGGATTGGTCTGATTTTTTTACATATTATTTTTTTTAGTTGTTGATAGACCTTTATTATTTATATATTTATATGTGGTGCTGAGAATGGAACCCAGTGCTTCACACATGCCAAGAAAGTGTGCTATCCCGCTGAGCCCCAGACCCAGCCCTTGTCTGATTTTTAAAAATCATGATTAGACTGAGTTTATGGGTTTTAGGGAGAAATACCATAAAGAGAAGAGGCCACTTTCATCACGATACCAACCGTGCACACCGTCAACCTGACATCACTATTGATATAGATTTTGATCACTTAGCTGGGATAGTGTTTGTCAGGTTTCTTTGTTGTAAATTTGTTCTTTTTTCTCTGTTTCTACATGACACTCTTTGGGAAGAAGTCACTATGTGTGACCAAACCATAAAAAGTGGAAAATTATATTTCACTTATTTGAGGGCAGAGTATCCATGTAAGCTCTTGGAATTCTTTTTCATGGGAGATTTGTCTTTTTCTTCCTTCCTTCCTTTATTCATTTATCCATCCATTCAATCACTTACATATATCAGTATGGTATGGACTCAGGAATGTTCATTTTATTTTATTTTGGGTTATAATCCAACACTATTTTATTTTCCAGCTCTAACCACTAGGATTCTGTTAAGTACTGTGGCATTTTTTTTTTTTTTTTTTTTTTTTTTTTTTTTTTTTTTTTTTTTTTTTNTTAGTTTTCGGCAGACACAACATCTTTGTTTGTATGTGGTGCTGAGGATCGAACCCGGGCCGCACGCATGCCAGACGAGCGCGCTACCGCTTGAGTCACATCCCCAGCCCCAGTACTGTGGCATTTTTGCAAATTTTTTTTTTCAATTCTCTTAATTCTCCAGACTTTACAAGTTTTAAAACTACAATAAAACCTTCCAAATGATTATTCTATCCAGTGACTAACTTACCCCTTAGAATTACGGTAGGCACTTAAGGAGAAACACTGCTTTCAGGGGCACATTAAATGAGATTCCAGCTGTCAGGAAGAATTCATCTAACAGGAAGGTAAGTGAAAGATTAGGGAGAAAAGTGCCCATTGTGTAGTAAATATTTTAAGAAACTAATGAAGTAGAAAGATAAACTGAAAAAATCCAAACCTTTTAAAGCAAATTTATAAATGGCTTCACATGCTTTAGCCAAAATTTCTTCTTCAGGAGAATTAAGCATTAACACCACGGTTGCTGCTTTTTTGCTTTCGATTGTTAATGGATCAAACTGAAATGTAAAGAGAAAAATATCAGGTTCACATATGAGCTTTAAAAATCACATAAGCAGGGCTGCTGGTGTATACCTGTAATCCAGGGGCTTAGGAGGCTGAGACAGGAGGATTATAAATTCAAAGCCAGCCTCAGCAATTTAGCAAGGCCCTACACAACTTAGCGAGTCCTTGTCTCAAAATAAAAAATAAAAAGGGCTGGGAATGTGGCTCAGTGGTTAAGCACCTCTGGGTTCAATCCCCAGTACCAAAAAATAAATAAATAACAAGCTAATCAGTTAATTAAATAAAAATTTTCTTTGGTAATATTCTTTGTCCTGCAATTGTAAGGTACTTTGTCTGATGGTAACACAGTCACCCTAGATTCCTTATAATTAGGGAATATAGGGAACCATGTATGTTTCTTTTTCTATACTTTAAATTTTAATCTATATGCATCTTTATGTTTAAAGGAGTTTCCCGGGTCTTGCTTCTTTACTCATTTGACAATCTCTCACTTTTAATTGGAATATTAAGTCATTTATATTTAGTATAATTATTGATATAGTTGAACTTCAATTGATCATCTTGCTATTTGTTTTCACTTTGCCCCATTTGTTTCCTGTTCCTCTGTTCCTGTCTTCTCTTGAATAATATATATTTTTTAAGTGTCCTATTTTATCTCCACTAGTGGCTTATTGATTGACTGTTTTACTGGTTATAGGTCATATTTTCCTTTTTTGCATATCTAATCATTTTCTGTTGGAAACTGACATTGTGAAAATTATGTAGTTGAGTGTATAGATTTTTTTATGGTAGGAAGGAGAGAGGAATCGTCTCTTAAAATATATTGAATTTTGTTCTATGGATCAGCTAGATCTATTTAAGGCCTGGTTTTAGCTTTATTATGGAAGCCTTATGGAGCCTTTACTATAGAATCAGTTTAGTCATGCTACTACTAAGGCCTGATCCTCTTTGAGAATCCATCTGATGATGCCTCAAGTGTTCAATAAGGCTCTTTACTCTTTCTGGTCAAAATTGCATTGTTTCCTGGACCTGTCTGAACTTTAAAAATTATTCAGTTGACAGCTTCCTGATAGTTGTTCGTGCATGTTCCTTGCCATGTGTAGTTCCCCCTTGTAAAGCTTAAAATTCAAAGACCCACAAGGACCATTAACCAGATTTCAGGAGCTATATCTCTATGTTCTTCCCTCCTTTATGGTACCCTGTCCTGCAAACTGCAGCCACCTTAGTCTTTCAGAACTCTTAATTTCTCAAAACTCTTATTACAACAAAAACACTTTCCTTAGATATTAATCATCCTCCATATACCATCCTACTTTTCCTTCCCTTTCACAGCCAAAAACCTTACAACCTATGTACTTTTCTCCATTTTTTCACTCTCACACCTGGCTGCCAAATCCAACCTGACTTTCCCCCTTATTGAATCACCTATATAGCTCTCTCTGAGGACACCATTAGAGATCACTGTGTCACCTACCACTTCTTGATAGTTTAATTTCATTTCTAAAGGATTAAAAGAATATTTAAGACTACAGAAGATTATGGTTTATTTCATTGTCAGGCTTGCAGTTTTATGGACAAATGTTGATTGTTTTTCTTCATTATGGTTAGGGTGTGAAAATCCTTGAACTTTCTTTTTATTTTATCACAGCCGCATTCTTCTGAACTTTCTCTGTAACAGCACATAACACCAACTGCATTGCTTCTTGGACTTCTTGTCTATTTAGTATGTTGTATCATCATCCACTCAATTGCCAAGGCCCCAAATCTTGAAAAATCATTCAACTCCTCTCCTTCCCACACTATGGGTATAATCTATCAGTAAATCCTCTCAGCATCACTTTCAGTATATATCCCCACTTCTCTCCCCCTTCACTGTCATCTCTTGGTCCTGACTGCCAAGATATCTTAATGGTGCTTTGGAAATGGGCTCCAGATAGGTCTTCTGGTTTTCATCTTTCTTCCACAATGTAGCTAGATTGATATTCTTTTTTGTTTTAAAAATAAACCAGATATCACTACTCTTCTCCTTGTAACTTTTCAGCGAATTCTACTTTTTTGCACATTAGAAAAAAAAATCCAACTTCCTTAAGGTAGGCTAAAAGGCCCTTTGTGATTACCTGGATCCCACCATCTTTGTGGCCCAGCTCCTACTCCTTGACTACTAATCTCCAGCCACCCCAACTTCCTTGGCATTCCTTAAGCACACTATGTAAAGCTTTGGTTATTGTTTTCTGGCTATGGTTCTCCCCTCAGATATGTGCACAGCATACTCCCTCATTTCATTTAAGTCTTTTTCAAATGTGACCCCACTAGGAACTCTGCCTGACCCAGATCCTGTTCATAGTAGTCCCATCCCATCTCACATCCCACTTTATTTTTCTTCCTTGATATCATCACTTCCTAAGTTATATGGTTAAGTGACTGCTTCTCTCACTATAATACAGTTGCCTCGGAGCTGAACTTTGTTTTGTTTCCATCTTAATGCTCAAGATATAGAACATTTGCAATGGTATGCTCTCAATATTTGCCCAATTAGTGAAGGAATTTCTTCAGGCAAAGGACCCTGTTAGTATTTATCTATCTGCATTACCAAAGAACAGTACTGGAATATGGAAGTACTTAACACATGATTGTGAAGGAATGTATTAAAGGACTCCTGGAAACTTATTATTCATGTGGTCTTAAAGTGCTTTAACTGGGTACTGCCATCTGTTGTCAGGAAACCTAAATATGAGTTCATGGAGCCACTGATGGGCTTCCTTTTTGTACTGCATGTGTACAAAAAGAGGTTTGCAGTGTGTTTTTATGTGGGGAAAGGGTCCCCATTTTCATCCTATTCATAAATTTCCCTGACGGTCCACCAATTCCTTAGACAGCCTTTCCTACTTAAAGCAGCTTCCTCAATGTTCCAGCTGGTCACTGGACCCCGCATTCAGAACAGATTCCCCTTCGATTTGAGAACTTCCACTTTCTAAGTCTGTTTGTTGGCTTATTGTGTGGTACCAGAGATGGAACCCAGGGGCACTGTACCACTCAATCACATCCCCTATTTTTAAAGAATTTTTCATTTTGAGACAGGATCTTACTAAATTGCCAGGGCTGGCCTGAAACTTGTGATCCTCCTGCTTCAGTCTCCCAAGTAGTTGTTAAAAAAAAAAATTCTTTTTGAGGTGGGGTTTCACTATGTCTCCTAGGATAGTGTTGAATTTTCTGACTCAGGCAATCCTCCTGACTTAGCTCCCTGAGTACTTGGCACTACAGGCCTGCCTGTTGTCTGCCTTGACCTAGGGCCTATTTAAAAATACTTTAATATTTTTAAATAAACATGTGACTAAATCTATGATTAAACATGGCTATGCTGTGATCTGCATAGAGTGACTACAGTTCTTAAAGGAGTAGAATACATGAAAATACATTTAAACAAAAACTGTAGTAAATATCATTTAATCTGTCTGAATGGTTTAGAAAACACTCCAGTATTTTGCCATATCTTCCGGACATCATTAAGAAGGCAATTTAGGGTATGAGAAGCTTAAAGGGAAGATAGAGACCATGAGAATTACAATCAAAGAGCTGTCAAAGCAGAAGAAATACCAGTGTTTGGCAGAGAATGGAGATACTTGGCATGGCATTTTTTTCTCCTACGGTGCCTACAGCATTATAGTAATTTTTTATTTAAAAAGGCACTGAGAATAAAATGATAGCTATAACAGAATGCCACATGACTAAATAAATAATACTGTGCTGTAATTACACGTCCCATCTGCTTTCCCATGAGGAAGCTGCAGTCACCAACAAGCTTGTTGTGAAATTATAATTTCGCGCTCTGTACAAAATAAATGAAGAACCAAAATTATTTACAAAAAGAATCGAAGAAAGRGGAAGCATTTTTTGGCGAAGCTATTCGTTTTAAGACCCATCAGTTGGAGAGGCCAGAGACTCATAAAGACATTTTATATCTCTGTTAAAGAAATAAGACTTGTCAAGAATGGTGGCATCCACAAAACTTCACTGATGGAAATGTTTCGATTTTGTGTTGTTCAATATGCCATTCACAGGTCGTGTGTGGCTCTTGAGCAATGTAAATGTGGCCAATGCGACTGAGGAACTGAATTCTTAATCACTTTTTGGTTGTTAATTTTAATTGTTATAGACTTAAATTAAAATAACTACATATAGCTAATGATTACTGTATCATACAGCCAAGGCTAAAAGGAGTACAAAGCTATTAAGTTGAGCTCAGTGGAAACAGATAGATCATGAGAGTCGAGTGACTTTTATGGTGGCAATATGTGCAAATAAAAGCCTCTTTTGATTTTTAATGGAATGTGTTTACCACATCAGTGGCCTCAGATCATGAGGATCCAATTGCCTAGGAAAGAGCCAGACAGACAGCGGGAAGTAAGTTGCACTCATCTAATATGAACATTTAGTAGAGAAATCTAGACTTCAGGAAAAATCTGCTGAAATATCCAATGGTTAAAATAAATATAGCTGAATTTGCCTTTAGTTTACTTTACAACCTAATAAAAGTGTCAAACTTTTAGAGGAAAAGAAAGCAAACTGATAATGAACCACACGTGTATTTCATTTATGTGTATTATTATTTATGTGTATGTTATTTATGAGTTGATTCTTTTAAATTAATTCATGGTGTTTTTGTTTATCTGTGATGAGGGAGAAAGATCAGAAAATAACTCCCTTTGGTTCTTTGTTAAAAAACAAAAAGTGGAGTGCTATCAGCCTATGACAAATGATTAAAGGTTAAGTTCTGAGACTGATGATGAAGATCTGGGAAAAGCAATTCCCCAGGAGACAACCCACTCTTACCAGGAAATGGATTTAGAGCCCAAGTGAGGGAACATGTTTTATTATTTTCTGTTGCTTTGACTTGATAATCACCATGCTAGAAAGTGCTGATCCATTAACACAAATGTTCAGGTAACTTGATCCTTAATCCTTAAGATTTTAGGGCCAGGTGTCAGTCTAATGAGAACTTAGATACTATGGGCTTATCTACTGAGGCTAAGTCACCTCTGAAATATTGAGAGAACACAATTTTATACCCCCACTTGCAAACTCAAATCATGGTGGCCGAACACCAGGCTCTTGAGAGCATTCATGGCCAACTGGCTTCACACATCTGATATTCCTGCCTGCTTGGACAGTTGATACAAACTTGTCAGTTCTGCAGAATGATGAACAGCACCCTCAACTACATCTTTACTATCAACAACATTTGCTAAATTCTTACCTCGTGTTAGGCACTGTTCTAAGTACCTTATTCTTATCTGATCTTCATTGGGTAGTCCAATGAAGTAGGTAGCATTGCATCCTCAGTGTGGTACACAGAGGGTAGGAAACTTGCCCCAGGTGAGAAGAAGGGGATAGAATGAGGATTAAACTTAAGCACTGTAACTCCAGAACCTATGCGCTTAGTCACTGAATATCTTGCTTTATACTAAAGAATGCTTTGTAGAGTCCTTTATATTAGGAATTCTTTTGTGCAATCATTCCACAGGAACTTTTCCTTTATTAAAGCATCACAAACAACCTTTCAGCCAGACATGAAAATGATCTGGGAAGGCAGAATGTCCCGTGTCGGTCATTCAAGCCATATCTTCTCCACATCTAGGCAACTTTTTAGCTGGTGTCCCTTTCACGAGAAGGAAGTGTAGATCTGGAAACCACATATGTATATATTAACGAATGTTATGACTAATGAGAATATTATGAAAACAAAGGAACTGTCTTGTTCTAATCATATCACCAAATACCCTTGCTGTCTCTATTACCCATTTTAAGCAGTAGACAAAATGCTAATTAAAAGTTAAAGTTATTGGAAACAATGCTCAGGAAATATATGGTAAACAGATTACCATTAGCTTATTAGTTTATTTTATGAAGCATCTGTATATCCCTCTTTTAAATCTGGCTTTCATTTACAGTTTGTAGAACACAACTTTCACAGACTGTGAAGAGGCAGACTTTGAAATGAGTTCTGGATTAGGAAACCTGTTTTGAAGTATTAGAATTTATAAGGAAGAAAAGGGATTAGATATTTTCATGCGACTCGCTCAGCTTTGTTAACATAAAGTCAGAGTAGGAGAAGGACGGAAGGCCCTTGGAAAAGGCAATAAATAGGGACCACTGGTAATTGTCACAGGTGTCTTTGGCTACCCCCAAGAATGTTGGGAACCCAGGAAGAAAGATTGCATTTCTTGAGTCCTCCATAGTATCCCCAAAGACTGGAGTAGAAAGAACAATCCCAGCATGACATTATGAAATTATAGAAAGGGTATTAGACAAATATATCTACTGTTTATTCTAAATCAGAATGTGTTTCTTGCCAAGAGCTATGTTCGTGAGTCGACTTTCTGCTAAGATGCCAATAATGCTATTTGGCAGTAAAAAGTGGGGTAATGCAAACCTAGGACGCACAGAGTAAATAGGATCTGCCACRTTTTAGGAGTGTGTCCAAAGGAAAGCAGCGAGAATGAAATGACATCACACGACCACAGTGATTGTATCTGCAAAGGCTTCCTGTACTGAAGCAGACAGGTGCTTCTTTGGTTTTTGTTCCTCTGTTGAAGTATCACACCTATGTGGTTGATACGGTGTGTGTGTGTGTGTKTTTTTTTTTTTTTTTTTGTGTGTGTGTGTGTGTATAAAGCACAGTCCAGAGGATTCCCATAATAGATCTTATTTACTGAATGCTAGCTCCTAGGCACCCAGAATTTTATGTAATGTATTTTGGTTTAATTTATACAATGATCCAAATGAGTTTGAGAGTACAATTCCCATGCAAGAGATAAGAAAACACTGAAATAACTTGGCCAATTTTGGCAAAGTGGCCAAAATAATACAGCTCATGAGAAGCCAAGCTGGGACAAAGCTTTCGGTCTTAACCACAATGCTYCATTCTGGAGGGGAAGTTTCTGCAGGAAGCTCAAAGGTTCTTGCAAAGTTTAAAAGTCTGGGCACTATCTTCATTTCTTTTCTATTCAGATCCCATCTGAAGAAAATCACAACAAACATCTGTTTTGAAATGTTTCTAAACCAAAAGTTGTCAAAGGTCACTTTCTGTTTTTAACACAATCTTTTAGCAATTGATTGAAGGGAGCAAATAAAATTGTGCTACTAAGAGAAAGAAGGGCCTACTGTGATGGGGAATTATTCCAGGAGACTCTTTTGTTAGAACTAGAAAATACAGGACTTCTCATGTTCAAGGTTATCAACAGAGAATCCTTTACACATGTCTTAGAGCTATAGCGTGACTTCTAAAGTGAATTTTCGAAAATTCACTTGGATAATTCACATTAATGAAAGACTGGCAAATGTAACCTTGAAGTATTTAAAAGAATGAACTAAAACTATTTATTCATTAACAAGGCTATAAACATGCCATCCACATACTGGAAAAACTAACAATTACTCCTTAATTGTGCTAATTATATAATGACAATGTTGTAAATGTTTGTTTATCTAATGTTAGATTTCTCTGACTAATCTTATCATTAGTCAGACTTTGGACTTCTGCCACCATGTATTCATGTATGTACTGGTACATGCCAAACTGAACAATTTATTTTTAAAACTGGTGGTTAAAGCTACTAGTATTCAAGTCAGAAACTTACCACATCCTTAGGAGGAGGTTCTATTTCCTTTTTTATCTTTTTACCCATCCTGGAAAAAGATGTAAAAAAAAATGCTTTATAAAGTGACACTTCTGCTTTATGAATGTGTACAAATCTCTCAGTAACTCATGTTCTTGGAGGGGGTTTTCTTTCTACTTTACATTTTTACCTAATAAAAGAAATCGCAATACCTGTAGGAAATTTTTGCACACATATGAACATGTCACCAATATCTCTATTCTAAACACTACAATTTTAAACGAACTTATTGCTAAGATTGTTGAGCGTAAGTTGTGGTTTCCAGGTTAGATAGGAGGTGAATATATTAGTGACATAACTTCTGCTCACATAACAGAAAAGGCTTTCCTATGTTTATAGCTTACCTGCTTGAAAGACTAAACCCAAGTTACTTTGGGGATCTGAAAAACTGTCACAAAGCAGCAATGTTTGTCTATTTTCTGGCACTCATCTCTCCTAAGCACCTACAACAATGTCTAGTACATATTAGGCATTAAATATCTTTAAAAATGATCAGCTCTACTTTTCTTGGGAATAATAATTTCATGAATGGTATACAAGGTCTACTGCAACTGAATCAACATTTGTGTTAGTTTCCTAGATAATAAAAAAGTTTAATATAATCTGTGGCTCAATTAAAAAACAATTGAGAATCTGTTGTTAGGGCTACTCCTCCCAAGACCCTTTTCTTTCTGCCCTTATATGCCCAAGGCTATGTGGAAAAAAAAGTCAAAAGAATAATATACATATATAGTTAATACACCACAGAGGAGTAACTCAGTTGGGTATAGAGCCTCCCAAGATGTTGGTGCCTATTAGAATGACCCAATCTCCCCAGTTTTCTTCAATGAAAATTTGGGGTCATGTTGGCAGTCTCAGATGGTGTGTACTAGCTATACAGAAATTTCCATAGTTTCCAAAAGAAACCTTGGGAAACGAGAAATCCCTGGATTAATTTTACAGTGTCAGGGTTAGTTCAAAGTGCCTATAAAAGGTCAATAGCAACTTCTAGTGTTGGAAACACTGAGGAGAATTTATCAAACACATTAAAAAGCCACACATTCATGGAAACTATCATAGAGACCTCTGAAAGATGTTTTTCCTGGTCACTGACGTTAGGTCACATAAAGTGTAAGATCTTTGAGGGACTGGAAGATTTATTTTGTAATTTGCTACCTTATACTATATCCAGTATTAAAATACTAAAATGAACTCACATCCTCCATTAAATGCAATTTTTCATCAAAAATTTTGCTGTTGAAATTACTCAGCAATTAGTATGTACATGTGGAAATTCTTGTAAAATGAGAAAATTGGTTTTAGATGTAATGGAAAATTAATACTAATAAAAATTTAGTTTCTTATTTTTTTTCATAAATTAGAGCCAATATTATTTTTTTCAAATCTCAATATCTTTCCTAGGTGCTTGAAAAGTATGTTGGCCCTAGACCTTGTGCCTATAATATTTCAGGTGGACACATGAACTATTCCCATTATGGACAAATGAGGAGCTGTCAATCTCTAGGAACAAAAAGTGAATTAATAGTTCTTTATAATTCCAAAATATAGCAGCCTCTGGCTTATAAAAGAATATTATTCCTATGAATAACATTCAAGAAGCAATTAAATTATACCTGCATAATGTTGCTTTAAATCATATGATTTTCACTCAGAAACATTCACTCAGAAACTAATAGTATTTGTAGCAATTGCATAACAAAGAGCAGAGGCTAAAAATAACCTAAACATACATAACTGCATTTGATAGAGTCAGTTTTAGACAATAATGTGAAGTTAGAAGCATCTATATTTTATCACCACATTGGGTATGGTAATTAGTGGGGAAATAAACAGTTGGTATGGGACTATACAAGAGATATTTCTAATACATTTCATTGTAGAGAATTTGGAAAACATAGATTGAGACAATGAATAAAATAAAAACCACCCTAAGTTACAGTCAGGGAGATTAGTATTATTTCAACATAGTTTCTTTTTCTGTGTCTTCTATAGTGAACCTGCAATTCTAACTGGATTTCTAGTCCCTATTCACTTCTCATTCCTGGGACCATTTTCCTATTAAATTCTTAARTTTCAGGTAAGTTCATGAAATTTTGGTCTTCATTTATTGCTAAGATCATCTACAACAGATTCCTGTAGCATGCCATTAAATAATATTTCAAAGTTCATTATTTATCTAGTCAGTCTCTTATTTTCAATCCTCTAAAATTATATACAAAGCTGCAATGCACATCTCTTAAAATTTCCACCCACATCTCCAACTGTTCCTTGAAGACAAATCCCCGGCAGCAAAATAACTGTGTGAAAAGGTACCAAATTCTGGATATTGGATAGGAAAGCAAGTCTGCTTTAAATCTGCCTCTTCTAGAGCCACGTTGCTTTTCACGAGTTTATTGGTCATTTGTATTTCTCCTACTATCTCAAATCTTTTCTAAGGCTGAGATTTGTTTTGCCCAGACTTAAAGAGGAGAGGGGCGCTAAAGCAAGTGGGCCCCGCTTCTCTGGTCATCTTAGACCTTCAGATCCCCTCTGGGGACCTCGATTTTTTGTCGCCTTTTAAAGGTGAGGTGGGCTTGACGCCTAGGAAACCCTTCTTTAGCCCTTCTAACACTGCAGGCACTGGGAAGGGACCACTTCTAAGGTGTTCTCTCAGTTGTCCCAGCAGTCCCTATCCGAATGGCACTTTCTCCTTCCCAAGTTTTGCAGTGGGCTCTGCTCTGCGCCTCTCCAATCCCCAGAGGCAGGTGTACCTGCAGGGAGGTTCCGCCGAACAGCCTTTGCTCACAACCAGTAAACCGCACCTGCGGATACAGGCGCACCTCTGGGTCCACAGTTGTCCCTGGGTTGCTAGGTGACCCCGTGCTGCGCCTGCGCGCTTTCGCCAGGGAGCTAGCTCTGTGCTTCCCAGTCTGGCCCGGGGCAGCTTTCAGTCGCCAAGGAGCCCAGCGCGTCCTCAGTTCCATGAGTCCATGTTTTGGGCCAGAGTAAATATCGGGAATGCACTAATTAGAACAAATTTTAAAAAAATTAAAAGACCTTTTCAAAATGTTAAGAAAAAAAAAAACACGGGAATTCTCCTCTCTTGTGTTGAGCCAGGTAAAAACTGTAAATGGGGAGCAAGCAGCTGAGACTTGCAAGCAGATACTATTGCATTCTCTCATCTTCAAGCCTCAGCCAGAATCTGTGCAAAAGACACCAAATCGCCACCTTCTGAGGGGGCTTCACTAGGCTGCGGACCTTCATTGCCAACTTTCTGTGCACGAAGCTATCCAATCCTCCCCCACGGAACGAACCAGAGCTCTTAAAAACCTCCTCCTACCCACCTTTCTCCCCTTACTGTCGTTCTTCCCAATCGCCCAGGTAAAGCTTTCCCCCCCATAAGGTTGCCTGCTTCATTCCCGTTCTACCTTTGTAGATTCCAAGCATACTCTACCACTCCAGTCCCAGCCAAACTTCTCTTCCCTCCTGTTTTTCCATACTTTTCTCCTATAGATTATTTTGATCATTCTATTCCCTCATCATTTCATTTTCAACAATTATTTATTAAGCATCCATTATTTTCCAGGTATGTGCAACTCTCAGAATATTCTTTCATTTTTATTTAATTAAACCATCTTTATAAAATACTCTTACATTGCATTTACTTTCTTTAAAATGCTTTTTTTAGTTGTTGATGGATCTTTATTTTTATTTACTTACTTTTATGCGGTGCTGAGAATCAAACCCAGGGCCTCACATGTGCTAGGCAAGCGCTCTACTGCTGAACTACAACTCCAGCCCCACTCTTAGGTTGCCTGTAACAAAAAAAATCTTTCTTTCTTCTTTACACTTTGCAACTCCTGCCCCCATTAGTCCCTCAGCATTGCTACGTTGATATGTTTTTTATGTTCCCTTCCCACCTTTTAAATTACCTGACAGTGTCATCTATATCTAACAGTTCTTCATATTAAATTTTTTATTGTGAAATATCTGGTGTGACTTCTGCCTTCTGGTTGGACTTTGAGTAATACTCTTTTGTATGTTCAGTCTTTTATTTTTCTTTTCCAGCTTATTTCCTCATTCCTCATCAATTTATAAATATAGTTAAATCTCTCCAGTGCCTTACAAAAAAAAAAAAAACTCCCTTTGATCCTGATGGTGATCAATTTTCAATTACTATAATTAAAAACCGGAGGCAATTGACTTATAAAAAGAAGACTTATTTTGACTCCTAGTTCTGAATGTTTCAGTCTAAGATTGAGTGGCTTTGTTTTAGGGCCTCTGACCAGAGTGGCACATCATGGCAGGAGCATATGGCAGAGCAAAATGCACATCTCATGAGCTAGAAAGTAGAAGAACCAGATGGGAAGGGGCTGGGGTTCCACAATCCTTTTTGAGGGCAAACTCCCAATTACATAAGGCCTCCCTTTAGACCCCACTTCCACATCACCACCCAATAGTGGCACCAAGGCTTCAACACACAGACCTTTGGGGGACACTTATTCAAACCATAGCAATCTTAGGTTTCTTCTATCTACCAGTCTATTGTTCTTTTTCTCCTTCTGATCATTACTTTACCAAAAAAAAAAAATAGGTTGCTAGGTACTTCTGCATCTTCAACTTCCCATTCGCACTTCAGACTATAATGATCTATTTTTTTCCCAGCCCTCAAACTACTCAAATCCTTCAGATACTTCTCAGTCTTTGTGTTCCTTGACATTGCTCCTGCATATAACATTCTTGGTGATAATTTGTACTTGAGACTCCGTCTTTGATTTCTGTGCTTGCTCTTGATTATCCTCTTATTTCCATGCCTATTATTCCTCAAGTGTTGCTGTTCCCCAGAGATTTGTTCTCACACCATATGCTTTTCTGGGACAATCTTATTTATATCTGTGACTTCAATTGCCACATACACAACTCCCCACCAAATTCTGACACTGAGCTCTAGGCTCATATATCTTTCCACTTGCTGGGCAGCTCCAACTACAAGTCCACAGACACCTCAACCATCACCACTACCCACCTAA